GGTTCAATATGGAAGAAGCAAACGTCCTGCATATTCCCACAGATCCACAACACTCATTAGATCCAAATTTGTCAGGGTCATTGGAAGCAGGGGAAGTTCCATACAGAGAATCAGTTGGAAGTTTGTTGTATCTAAGCCAAATAACAAGGCCTGATATAACTTTTGCAGTAAATCTTGTCAGTCGTTATTTAGAAAAGCCTCTGACAATTCATTGGAATGCGGTGAAACGTATATTTAAATATTTAAAGGGAACGTTTAATTATGGTTTAATTTATGATTCTAGTGTAACACCAAAGTTGCGTGGATATAGTGACGCAGACTATGCCGGTGTCACAACAACGAGACGATCAACATCAGGATTAATTTTCATGGTGGGAGATGGAATCGTAGCATGGTGTTCACAAAGGCAAAAATTGGTAGCACTTTCGACTACTGAGGCAGAATACATAGCGCTGAGCTTATCGATACAGTAACTTACTTGGTTGACGCTACTTATCAGTGATCTTCTGGAGACACAAGGAGATACACCAGTTCTATATGCAGACAACTAAAGCGCCATCAAACTAGTGAAAAATCCAGAATACCATAAGCGAACAAAACACATCGATGTTCGATATCACTACATTCGTGAGAAGTTCAGTGAAGGTATGTTTTCTCTGGAGTATGTGCCAAGCAAGGAACAGTTAGCTGACATATTGACTAAGCCAACTCCACGACCAAGATTTCAAGAACTCAGGGAGATGTTGGGAATTAGATATATTAATTCTAACTTCTAAGTTAGGGTATATTGTTTAAGGGGAAGTGTTGAATGTAAACAACACACCTTGTATCATATAGATTATAAGCAAATTATTCACACATTTCACACTGTAGTACAGCAGACGCTGAATAGGCATTTTATATTTCTATAGCATATTCGTTATATGTACTAGCCTGTAGGACGCAGTCGTTGTTTTATATTACGCATCGGAGCACTATAGTTATTCATATCAATTTTACATATTATTATATTATTACATGTTATATCCGATCTTACATTTATTTACCTTTAGCTTCTGTATATCTGTGTACCTCAACATAACTTATTACATAATTACACTTTATAATGTACTAGCTGCCATCGGAAACTCGATATCGTGAAACTCGGAGGCATGTGAGACTGTGAATTGTGATGGAGACGACAATGTTGTTGAAATTACTTAAAAAAGTTCCTCCTGTCGACGTGTCATGGGTGGTTACAAAACAACAATTTAGGAAGTGATAAGGATTTTTGATAAGGCTTGGAGGCTCGTTGTAAACGCGGGAATGTCTGACATTCCAGTTTCAGTGTCTTGAAATCTCACATCGCCTACGACAACTGGCAATTGAATAATAATACGGTTCTCTGTTGCATGTCCGGTGCTTTTTCATGTGTAAAAGAATATAAATTTGAAATCCGTGTTCGAATGTCTAGCAAGTTTGTCACCTCAAGTGAAATCAATTAACATTCAAGTTGCCTACCTAGGTAAGCAATCCGATATCGTCAGATCGCAGATAATGGGTTACAACTAATCAGGTAATCAATCCATTTGCTAACCTAACCTGCGGTGGATTGCAGACACGCCGTTCAGCGGCTATAAGTGAAACTCAACTAAATTGGTAGTACATACCTACATTATACACGCATAATGCATAGAAAATAAAGATCGCATGTAGGTAATCGTATTTGGCACAATCATACGGATGGATATAAGTAACGCCCACTATTTTTGTAATTATTTCATAATGTAAGCACCACGAAAATTATGATTACACTATTTACAGTAATGATGCAGATAACAATGAAATAATCATTGGAACTTGGAAAAATTATGTTAAAAAATCGAAAAAAAATGCAAAAAATCTGGGCTGCCATGCTATATATAAAAAACGGAACGCCTAAACCTACGGAACAACCTACTCAGATATTTTAATGTGAGGAAATCAGAGTATTTAAGCCGTTTGTATTCAGCAACGAATACTGCATTAAACCTTGTTTAACCGATTAAATATGTAGGATCTGGCCATTATTCGTATCCCATATACCTATTTAACAAAATAGATGCAAATATCATGCTATTGAATGCAAATACATTGCAATTTCTATTGTGTTAGGTACACTATGCATTATGCATAATAATATAATATGGTTCTGCATCAAATAAATACCTAGTTAATTTATTTAATATATATATGTGTAACTATATAAGTAAAAATATATGAATATATTAGCAATATACAATTTAATGTTACATATTTAATTTAGAGTGTATTAATTATGAAATCCAATATTATATCATAACATTGAGCATTAATGGTCAAGTTAAAATATTGTCTTTTATTTATTATCATATATTTTTGAGTAAATTTATCTAAATTTAACCACAGAATTATGTTTAACTTGTTATATGTATATTATAACGGGCAGTTTATGTGAAAGCAAATAGCTGTGTACGTCATAGACATTTGTGTGATCTATTTAATAAATGATATTCATATGGTCGTGTTTTAATTTTTTATTATATAAGCCATGGATTATTCATTGCAAGATATTTAAAACTTAGTTATTTAATATGTGTTTATGTATGTAGCTATATAATTGAAATAATATAGATACATAAACATATTAATATAATGTGTGTTTGAGTACATTTTTTTAATCAATGCACAGAATTGTGTGTTGATGTCATTGAAATTGCTTATTAAGTTAATTTGATTCTTATAATGCCCCAAAATTTGTGTGCACTGTTAAATAAATAATATTAATATTACCGTTGACAAACAGTTCAGAAACCTATTTCACATTCCACAGTTGCAGAATTATTTGTGTTTAATTAGATATTTAACCACTGAAAAGGGCTACTCATACTGACGTTGATAATTGTCGTGTATAGGAACTTCTAATTATTATGCATACCTATCTACATAAATAACTTATCTAAATTATTTACATAAATTATTGAATAACAAATATAATTTTCTAATTATTTTAGCAAATTATAATACGATAGTTATAACATAATTACACTTTATAATGTACTAGCTGCCATCGGAAACTCGCTATCGCGAGACTCGGTTATGGAGACGACAATGTTGTTGAAATGACTTTAAAAAGTTCCTTAGATTTTCAAATTGAAACTAATATCTGTTATCTGCTAACAATATTTATATGCCGAGAAAGATCGATGGAAGTTAGCGGTACATATTTAAAAAATAACAATTCATTTGCTAAGTCTTCGGGTAAGCTATCTATGGAAGTAATTTCTCCACTCAATATTTTTGAAAATGTATTTAATGTTTAATAGCTATTATTTTTGCTGTACTTAATTTCCCACTGAACCTGTAGCTATTTTCAATTCCATCGGATAAAAGAATATTTCTTGCATCATCACATCAGGCAAAAATCTAAAGTTTGATTTTATATATACCAGATTTGGAGCGACACCTGGATCACTTAAATACTTTTGAGAGTTGTCAACACAAGCAGAATCTTTTTCATCAAAATATGTAATAACATCTATTATTAGTTCGTAATTATCACAATAATAAATAGTCGCTTTAAACCAAGTTCCCCATATTGTAACGATTGGTTGTGGGGGAAGTGATAGGAGAGGTTCTTTTTTAGGGTTTCGTACCCAAAGGTTAAAACGGGTCCTATTACTAAGACTTTACTGTCCGGGCGTATGTAAGTTCCTACACGGTAAAAACCAGGTGCATATGTTAGTTACTGCGGAAAGGGTTAAATATGTATATTATACACAATTAAATATGTATATACGAATTTAAAAAAACAAATATATTATGATGATTAAAAAATATAATAAAAATCGTCATAGTGCATTTTCACAAATAAATATTGTATAATATGGTGATTAAAAAATATAATAAAAATCGTTTTTTCCTGTAATTTTGTATACGTTTTGCTTTAAATGAAGTATATTAATTTAATGTATATTAGTAAGCTACGGCTGGACATATTATTATTAAAACGATACGTCTGTGTATTATATACATATTTAACCCTTTCCGCAGTGTATTAACTAACATACTTAGCTGGTTTTTACTGTGTGGGAACTTACATAAGTACCTTCTTCCGTCGTGTAGGAACTAAAGTATGTAATTGTTTACCTGCTACTCTCGTGTAGGAACTTACTATGCCCCCGCTGTCCGTCTGTCCGTCCGTCCGTCTGTCACCAGGCTGTATCTCATGAACCGTGGTCCGTGATACTTAGACGGTTCAAATTTCTACAGATGACGTATTTCTATTGCCACTACAACCACTAATACTAATAATAAAATAAAATATTTAAGGGGGCTCCTAATTTCCATACAACAGACATGATTTTGTTGCCGTTCTTATAGATAATGGTACGGAACCCTTCGTGCGCGAGTCCGACTCGCACTTGGCCGGTTTTCTTTAAAACAATTTATGGGATATAGAGACTTGCAAAATAGTTTATTTAAGTTTGCTTTAATTTTGTCAACTTTTGGGTAATGCCCTCTAATTTGTTCAGCTATCCGATGAAATGCGTGTACAATACATGTAACATGAATCATTTTCGTATAAAATATATTAAGTGATTTTCCCGCTTTAACCATGTATGGTGCAGCATCGCTTAAAAATAATAAAATATCATCATGTCGTACACCTTCAGGCCATAATATGTGCATAGAATTATCAAATAATTTAGTGATTGTAAAATTATTTGATTTCTCTAGTTGTTCACAGGCTATTGAGTTCAAGCGTTTCTATAATGACATTTGTGACGTAACGGAATCTGTAGTCTCATCTCAGATTTTTTTACCAAATATAAAACTTCTAATTTTCACTAAAGTGTCTTCATAAATATCATTTACATAGTCTTTACGAAGTGTAGTTTGATTTAGAATTTCTTTCGATGCATATTTTTCCGAAAATGACTTAAAATTATGATTATTTAGTTTATGAAATGGAATATTCGCCGATAACAAAACATAACAGAAATCTTTATTAAAGAAGACTTCTCTTTGTGTTACTTAAGAGTTGTTGTTGAGTTTTTTGTAAAACAAATTTATTTTGATTTTGTTTTGATTTAATAGCTGCCTTATATTTAAGCTGTGTCAATGTGTTGTAGAACGTTGAATATTTTCTATCACTACCAACTTTTGAATCACACAATTTACAATATCTTTCCGTCAGTTGTAAATACTGTCCACAAGAATCACTAAATTCTGACATTACTTTTCAAGCGAAAAGCCAATTATTGCTTTTCTTTTGGCACACTTGAAAAAAAAATATTACTAAAAAAAATTTGATAAATATGAAATTATCACACAACGAAAAAATTTATGCGGTGCGCGTAATGATAAAACTAATAACTAGGTACTTGACAATATATGACATTATGACGGACAACTTAAGTTCACTTCCTATACGCATTTCGGTTTTATCGGTTTATCAGAAAGATAGTAAATTACATAATCGATGATGAAGATATTATTTTTAAATGGAAAATTTACCATTTTGTTATTTTCTGTCTCAGCTAATTTAAGAACTTATTTCGAAAATTGACAAATATGTTCTTAATTTTTCTAATATACTGAAATATGCATTTATATGTAATAATAACAAAATATGCAAAAATATGCAAAATACAATTTTAAATTTGATCTTTTGGTGTTATGAAACACATTTGTTGACCACTAAAATTGTTCTATGACAAGTAGAAGATGTGTCAAGTTGTTGTGTAAATTAATAAGTTGTTTACATTTTTCTACTTTATAAATCACAAACTAATTGATTGACAGTTTACTAAAATACTATAATGTTTTATTAGGTATTAATATAATAGCAATAATTATGTTAATTTTGTCTACATTTGGCTAGTCCAATTAATCAATTATATAACAACAACTATTTAATTACTTTTAAAGTTATAGATAGATCATACAAATTTAATGTAATTTTGATAATTTTAAAGATTGTCTTGTAATTATTAGCACTAAAGTACCTACTATTGATTTAATTAAGTTTTAAGTGAATCAGTTAATAATAACATATTTGTAGACTGAATTAATCAATTCTAACCACTTGGCAAAAATAATATACTTTTTATTGCAGGTCGTTATATTATACAAGGTACCTACTTGATATTAAGTTACCTTAAATATTTAGTTATCTAGACAGACATGGGGTATTGAAGCAACTAATTTTAAGGGAGCATCAAAATTTAAAAAAATGTATTAATTGTATGTTGTTATGAAGAAACAAGTTTTAAAATTCAACTTCTTGAGGAATAATATTGACTAAATCATTATTAACAAACTTGTTACTGCATTCAGAACTAAAAAAAAAAAAATTAATTGTGCTAAGAAAAAACTAACAAACAATGTAAATCCTTGTTTAAAATTTATAAAATTAGCACGTGCCACAGTCAGAAGCTTACATAAAATTAGATATAATATATGCTACAAATAATGTATTCAAATAATTTTTCTTCTTCATTTGCTAATAAATGTAAACAATTTAAAAGTTATTTAACTACTTTATCAGGTATTACAAATGGTTGATAAAAGTGAAAGTCCAAATAAAATGGATATAATAATGTTTAAATTTTATTTTTACACGTTTTTCAGTTACATTACCAATTTATCAACTACATCTATTGGTAAACAATTAACTTATATTGTAAATTGTTAAATAATTTACATTTAATTTTATGCAACTTTATGAAAAAAAAATTTAAAAAAAAATAGTTATTGTTATTTGAAAACATGAGACAAATTTGTACTAACTTGTAACTAATAGGTAGTTATAGATTATAAATTAAATCAGTAAATGTATTAAACATACCTAATTTTCAATTTTTACCATAATGTCATGTTTGCATGAGCTATTGTTATTATTTTAAATACTTATATCTAAATAGAATAAAATATAAGTATATATTAAATATTATACTACTTGCGTCTTGTAGTAAGCTTTAATGTTGTGTCAATCAAAGATCAAAAATGTTACAACTGTTGTCGTTGGAACCATGCATGTTCTTTTATATTATTCTTGTTCTGGTCAATGAACTTATTGTTTTTTTTAAAAGATAGGGCTTTTAAATTTTAAACAAAAAATAATTGGTGCTATTTTAGAAAAGTTTCTAATCGGAAAAAAGCCAACATAATTGTAATTCAAATTGTATGAAATTGTAATTATTTTTTAAAGTCAGGTTAAATAAATTTGAATTTTAAACTATTGCTATCAAATAGTATAAGTAATATTGGAAAAATTTCTGTAGGTATGTATTGTATAGCTAACAAAAAGGAAGTACTGAAACAACTAATGATACACGTAACAGTATAAGCTTAAAATACAATGTACCTAATTTGAATAAAAAAATAATGAAACAATTTAAAAAAATTAACAACATAAACATTTATTTATATTTTTTCTATTTTATTACTACCTAATAGAACCTATGCCTATCTAGAATAAATGCTAATTTATGTTTGTTTAATCACTTCAACTTGAAGTTTATGTAGTTAACTAATGAACATATTTGAATATTAAATGTGGGTACTTTATATTTGTTATTATTTAGATAAAATAGAATTATATAATATATTAACATGTATCATTGCACTAAATAATATAAGTGCTTATAGAAATTAAAATGTTTTATAATAATATGCTATTATGCTAAAATGCATATGAAGTCAAATGTATTAACTGATATACAGTGTGCTGAGGAAAGTTTTTTGAATGTATTCATGCAGCACATTGAGCATAATATTACAGTACCGTTCAACCTTATTCCTAAGTGTATTGGCTGCTATTAGCTGCTACTATCCTACCATTGATATCCCATAATATGACATTACCAACAGGCAGCAAGAATTAAGAATTATGAATGATAGCTAGGTAATAAGATCCGTTCTACTATGTCCAACAAAAGATTATGATCCCTGCTTTAATCTAACAAAATGTTGATATCAATCTTAAATTCATAAATATTGGTAATCAATACGAAATTACTTTTAAATATTCTACGTTGATTACAAATTTTAGATTTTAAATTAAAATTAATTGTTTTGGTTGTGTTGTATGTTTTACTTGTTATCAATATTTCAGTGGATTAGCATAGTATATAATATATTTTTCTTTACTGTACATGCTTCATTGATATTAGAATGTTTTTAATTGTTCTAATTTCTTATTTAATTAGGAATATGTAAGAACTAAGAAGACTGTTGTTAATCTGTTATCAAAAATATATGCATCTAATAATCATAACATTGGTTTTTAATTTTATACAACAACTAGTTGTGAACTTTGGTTTTCAAAGTATTATATTTTAAACAGTGTTAATTTTATTGTATTGTATGTTTGTGTGTGGGAAATTTGATTAAGTTGAGTATTGATCTGTATTTAACTATTATAGTGACTATTTAATAAGGGGCAACATTTAGTTGTCACGAGCAAAAACAATTATACATATATCTTTGTCTAGAACTCGTATATAGCTCGAAACATAAATATTCGATCGATTACAATCTGGTCTTAAAAACCGATCTATAGTAAATATTCATAAGTTTCGCCATTTAGTTTATAAAAATACAAAACCAATAAATTCCCTATGTTGTACATGTAAAAATGACATCACTTCTAACCGACGCGCATTTTGGCGTATGCGATAATTCCGGACTACATTTTTTCGCTTCGGCCGCCGTGTTCGGCGTCCTTTCTATAATGTTCATGTGCACAACTTAACTATTAATGTTTTATTATTTAAGATGACTTATGATTTATAAGTTAAGACCTTAAATAAATTCATGGGTACAAGTCAAATCGGTGATCGGTGTTGTGCATAATGGAAAAACTCATATTATTAAATTAATAATACAATTTTAATATTTTTAACTAAGCAAATAAGCTTCGTTGCCTTTGTAATGACAGAATTGTCAAGATTAGTTATTTGTTTTGCTTTTGCTGATCGCTTACATACAACTTAAATATTATCCGCCGATGTACAGCTACATTTTATTACTTTAAAACAATATTCAATTTTAAGCATCTGAAAACATTTTTATCTACTGAGAAAGTAGCTGTTAATGACTTATCCCTGTTTACGTGAACTCTGACCAATTTACATTCAGGTTATGATGGTTTTTGGTAAACTTTCTAGAGTTTTTGCAATGTATTATGTATCTATTAATGTATTATGAGAGGCAGCCTTAGAAGAGTAAGTACCTACTATACTTAGGGGTTTGAACTTAAAAGTAATACAAATTTTCAATTTATCTATTCCTTGTTTTCTTCAAATTGAATTTGTTATGTAACATGTAATGTTAACTTATTTATATTGTATTATCCAAATCTTCATAAATATACAACACATTTCATGAATACAATATATATGTTGAAAATGTGTTTGCAGTAACAGTATTCATTAGTTTTAATACAATTTTAATTAAAGTTAACTCGACTGCTCAGTATTAGTGATGGCCAGTGTTAGGAAGTTACTTTTTTTGGAAATTAAATTACATTACTAATTTCTTATCAAAATTGCAACTTGTGTTACTTTTTTATAATTAGTCAAGTTGCATTACTGTGAGTTCAAAAAGTAACTCAATTACAATAGAAATTCCCTTTTGCCAAAAATATCATTGGAGCTTAATAACCATATTGTCAACACTACAATATGAAATTATAAACATATACTCATTTTGCCACATATTAATTTTCATTTTAAACAATACAAAGAAGAATTCCATTACACAAATAACACTTTATTGTCCAATAATTAATAGCAATAAGAAAAATATCAGAGTTGAGAAAATTTCACTTATTATGAATTGTGATACCTGTATGATATCTTTTAATATTTACATTCATTATCAATAAGTTCTAAAAATGTATCAAACCATAATAAAGTAATGAGTAATTTAGTAAATTACCATCAAATTACTTGAAAAGTAATTTTGTTATAATAACTTAGGTCAAGTGTTACACTGGTAATGACTTAGCATTGCACTCAAAGTTAAATAATAATAATAAGCATTACCTTGCACCGAGGTTAGTCTGAAAGTTAACTTGTATTGACTAGCGCCCAACACGGAGTTTCTGCATTTTAAACTGCTTTTAAAAAAAACCACAACAAGAAATTCTACCTACAAATCATTTTTATTTCATTTCTAATTATTTTATTTTTAAATTGTTAATGAAACCGTTTTAATGTTTATTACTCGATGGTAAATTATCAGTCATTACTTTTTCAGAATTCAAAAACAGTACATAAACTAAATACAAAAAATATGTATTTATAATTATAATCTATGGCTTAGTTACAAATTAAAATTAAATGCCTTAGTTGTAGAGTAATACAATTAATAATAAAAAGTTTTATAAAAATGAACTTCTTACAAATTAGTAGTCAATGATTTCTTAGCTTAGTACCGGTGGCGAATATTCCAATAATTGTATGCATAGTTATAGTTTACAGCATACTGACATTTGTTCCAACACTTCTAACATGTTTAACAGTAGTGGGAGGCATCCTATTCAGACGATCCAGTTTGGCACTCAAAGTATTTACATGATTTAATAATTGTACATATTTTTCATAATATGATTGTTGTTGTTCTTCACAAATTGATAAATTATCCATTTGTCTTGTTAAATATGATTTGGTGGCCATAATTTCAGCAGATTTGTTTATTATCATGTTTTGAAAATCTTGTTGAGAAATTTTGACCGATTGTCTGGATTCAATCTTAAAGCAAACATTAATTAATAAACCAATTACATGCTCCCCACAACTATATTTTGATAATATAAATTCTTACCATTAAAAATAGTGGCCATTCCATCTTCTCTTTGGGTAATTCATTTTCTAATACTTTCCTGATAAAAGATGCTATTTTGATAGCGATTGCTACGTCATCTTTTTCAGTAATGGCTGTTTGTGCATTGGTGCGTTTTATGTTACCCTTACCACGATCTGTATTTGAGCTCTCACCACTTTTATTGACTGAATGCTTCCTTACATTAAGAGAGGATGGAAAACTTCTGCCACTGCCATTGACTGGTTTGGAATTCTTAGTTCTATTTCTTGGCTTCCTAATCATAATTTCACTATTGTTTTTCTTGGTCAAAGTAACTTTTTTCTCCACCTGTTGTATTTTTACTCCTTCGGCCGGACTATTAAACTTGCCATTGCGTTTCATGATAAAAATTGAACTTTTAAAATATATAATCGAACAGTTATGATAAATTATTTAATAACAAATATAATTTTCTAATAATAAACAAATTATAATACGATAGTTATAACTTATTACGTAATTACACTTTATAATGTACTAGCTGCCATCGGAAACTCGTTATCGTGAAACTCGGAGGCATGTGAGACTGTGAATTGTGATGGAGACTACAATGTTGTTGAAATTACTTAAAAAAGTTCCTCCTGTCGACGTGTCATGGGTGGTTACAAAACAACAATTTAGGAAGTGATAAGGATTTTTGATAAGGCTTGGAATCTCGTTCTAAACGCGGGAATGTTTGAAATTCCAGTTTCAGTGTCTTGAAATCTCACATCGCCTACGACAACTGGCAATTGAATAATAATACGGTTCTCTGTTGCATGTCCGGTGCTTTTTCATATGTAAAAGAATAAAAGAATATAAATAAGAAAACCGTGTTCGAATGTCTAGCAAGTTTGTCACCTCAAGTGAAAATCAATTAACATTCAAGTTGCCTACCTAGGTAAGCAATCCGATATCGTCAGATCGCAGATAATGGGTTACAACTAATCAGGTAATCAATCCATTTGCTAACCTAACCTGCGGTGGATTGCAGACACGCCGTTCAGCGGCTATAAGTGAAACTCAACTAAATTGGTAGTACATACCTACATTATACACGCATAATGCATAGAAAATAAAGATCGCATGTAGGTAATCGTATTTGGCACAATCATACGGATGGATATAAGTAACGCCCACTATTTTTGTAATTATTTCATAATGTAAGCACCACGAAAATTATGATTACACTATTTACAGTAATGATGCAGATAACAATGAAATAATCATTGGAACTTGGAAAAATTATGTTAAAAAATCGAAAAAAAATGCAAAAAATCTGGGCTTCCATGCTATATATAAAAAACGGAACGCCTAAACCTACGGAACTACCTACTCAGATATTTTAATGTGAGGAAATCAGAGTATTTAAGCCGTTTGTATTCAGCAACGAATACTGCATTAAACCTTGTTTAACCGATTAAATATGTAGGATCTGGCCATTATTCGTATCCCATATACCTATTTAACAAAATAGATGCAAATATCATGCTATTGAATGCAAATACATTGCAATTTCTATTGTGTTAGGTACACTATGCATTATGCATAATAATATAATATGGTTCTGCATCAAATAAATACCTAGTTAATTTATTTAATATATATTTGTGTAACTATATAAGTAATAATATATGAATATATTAGCAATATACAATTTAATGTTACATATTTAATTTAGAGTGTATTAATTATGAAATCCAATATTATATCATAACATTGAGCATTAATGGTCATGTTAAAATATTGTCTTTTATTTATTATCATATATTTTTGAGTAAATTTATCTAAATTTAACCACAGAATTATGTTTAACTTGTTATATGTATATTATAACGGGCAGTTTATGTGAAATCAAATAGCTGTGTACGTCATAGACATTTGTGTGATCTATTTAATAAATGATATTCATATGGTCGTTTTTTAATTTTTTATTATATAATCCATGGATTATTCATTGCATGATATTTAAAACTTAGTTATTTAATATGTGTTTATGTATGTAGCTATATAATTGAAATAATATAGATACATAAACATATTAATATAATGTGTGTTTGAGTACATTTTTTTAATCAATGCACAGAATTGTGTGTTGATGTCATTGAAATTGCTTATTAAGTTAATTTGATTCTTATAATGCCCCAAAATTTGTGTGCACTGTTAAATAAATAATATTAATATTTCCGTTGACAAACAGTTCAGAAACCTATTTCATATTCCACAGTTGCAGAATTATTTGTGTTTAATTAGATATTTAACCACTGAAAAGGGCTACTCATACTGACGTTGATAATTGTCGTGTATAGGAACTTCTAATTATTATGTATACCTATCTACATAATTAACTTATCTAAATAATTTACTATTGAAATTTTTTTCTATTGGGTATCGATATATTGCTCAAAGTAATAACGATTGTCAGACCATAAGCCTTTACAGAAACAAATAACAATAATAAATTAAAAAATATTATTTTGAGTACCACCTACCAGTTTTTATAATTGAAGAATGTCGATTCATTAGGTACTAACATAGGTTTTGTTAATTGTTTTATGGTATCTAAAGTTAATTTTGACTCCTGCACAATTGCACATGCCACATAAACAGCACTAACTACTTGGTCAAGATCTTCTATAAAATGAATAGCTTAGTTGAAGTAAGAGCACGATATCCAATCTAGATGGTATGAATAGCTAAGTGCCGACTTCAGAGTTCAGATGCATTTATCTCAAGTTAGAAGAACATGGATTATAGATTAAATGCATACAAAAAAATATTGAAGGACATTATAGAGCACCTGAAAATGTTGAATAGCAGGTTATTATACTGATTTTATAAATATATTACACGTCATATTAAGGTGATTCCAAACGGTCATTTTATAAGGAATTAGGCAAATTATATGACAGATACATCCGGGCCATATCAATGTATGCGAGTGTAAATGAACATTAGGGCGTGTGCACTACATACCGCAGTTTATCTCAATGCGAGAACTCGCAGGCACATGTCAGTATATAGAAGTAGGGGAAAATATTCGGTTTCTTTTCGAGTAAAAACATACCTCATGACAAAATTGTAATACTTGTGTGACTTTAAAATTGAATTGTAAAAGTCCTAACATTTATTAATATATCTCCTCTATAGAACGGTCGAGGAATACCTGCCATAATGTGATTTTTTGTGTGTAATTGAATACTAGGTCCTACATAAGTTGCTCCAATAGAAGTTTAAAAATAATAAATATCATGATCACTTTTTTTTTAAAACATGTGAAGTTCAAATTTTGACAAAATTGACAAATCATGAAAATTTGATAATTATTTTGTATTACAAGTCATAATTTCGACGTAGAGAGCAGACGGTAAACAATTTATGCTCATTTGTATTTACTTTTTGTCCATCCTACCGATCGGTATCTTAATGCCATAGCCCATAATTATTAAAGTATATTTCAAAAAATTGATCTGATTTCATTATAATGACTTCTTGAGATTGGTCCACAGTTTAAGGTTTCTGATTTAAAGTTGGAACAATCAGCTTTTGAAAATTCTGAAATTCAAAATATTCAAACTAAATTTATAGTTGTGGGGGGGGTAGGTGGGAATGAGAAAAAGTTTACTGACCGATCTCAAGTAAACATAATAACCAATACAAATCATTTCAAAAAAGTATTGTAGCATAATTACTAGGTTCCAATAAATGGGTCACTGTAATGGACTGAATTTACCTGTCCTCCGGTCGACCAAAAAATGTATGTCCCCATTCGTCCAGACGTCGGCCGCATCGTATATTGCAGATCGATAATAGAAAAACGTTAGTCTATATAAACTGGTCTATAGTGTAATAAACAAACGTTACATTAGATTTTATTATTTTTTTAATTTTTGAATATTATCACTAAAGACCAAATATCAACGGTTATTGCCGTACAATAAAAGTACAACAAAAGTCTTCGTTGACAACTACCACGGATAAATCAATTAGTCGATTCTCAATATTATCATTCATTATTTTAATTTGCATATTACGTATGTGCGTTTTTTATCCAAAAATGGCAAAATCCATTGGAGACGTTTAGGCATTTTCAATGCGTTTAAGGGGCGTTATCGTTGAGCAGCATATGCGACAATTGTACTCTACATGGCCTTAACAATGCATAGTTTTGTCACATAAACAAGGTGTCCATATTTATTATTAACACAACGGCTACCCATAATAAAAAGTGACCGGGCCATGAACATGTATTGATAGAGCGTGCCGCAGTGATTTATTAGATTAAATATAATATTCAGGAGTGAGTTTAGGTCCCGTAGGACCAGGGTCGTATGCATAGACGTGCTAGTTGCTACTCGATATACCTTCGTTCATCGATTTCCACGTCGTCAGCGGCGGCGAGTGTCGACGGCGGTACCTCACTATAGTACGGCCAGCGAAAAGTGAGCCGCGATACCAATGCTCCCGGTGGTCGAATTTAATCAGGACTTCCACAATTAAATGCGAATACGCTTAAGGGTCCCCACACGCTGCAGCGGTAGCGGTAAAATTCTTTTGTCTTGGCGGTGCCGCCGCGGTGGCGGTAAATTGTGTCCGGACTCATTTTACCGCTACCGCCACCGCCACTGCTACCGCTGCAGTGTGAGGGGACCTTAAATACACCACTTGGAACATACGGTCACGGCTCACTTTTCGCTGGCCGTACTATAGACATCACGATCACAGCATAAGTTCCTGTTACAGATATTCTGTTATTAAACCCGGTTTTATTTTATAAAGTTTTTCCATTCCTTTCCTTCCACGCTACTCGCATGTGTTGTCCCTTACAAATGTAAGACATGGCTAAAACTGTTTGGCGCTGGATAGAACCAATCAGGCTGTAATCCAAGCAAAGCAACCAAATATTCATATTATTTAAGAGGAGTTTTGATTTTTTTGATATCACTAGTACAAAAAGAGTAATTCGAGTTTGAAACAATGAATTTTTAAGCAATAAGAAATTTTCTTGTAATTGTGATAAAATAAATGCAAAAAATAAATAAAAAAATAAAAGAATAAATAGTTAAATAATAAAATAATAAAATAAAGAAATAATAAATCTAAAAAAATAAACACTATGTTTCACAGTAAATGTTCAGTGTTCACATATTAATAGTATGCAAATTTGGTTGCTTAGCTTGGACTGTAGGTTGAGTTGTCCTATCCCGCTCTAAACAGTTTTTGTTATGTTAGACGTTTGCAAGGCGGATACAAATTACAGGACATATATGCGGGTGTGACGTCATCTTAATCGGAGACCGAAATATCCGATCGCGAACACGTACCGCACAGTGATATACTCATATCCCGATACGAAACGTAAA